GTTGTTCACAGGGTCACCATGAGCTGTACACAACTCAACAGCAACTAACAACAACAACCCTAACCATTACAAAAGCAGACGGCTTCGTCTTTCTCCTGCAGGGGTGCGGAGGGGGGCTTGAACCGCTGACCTGTCGGTACTGCTCACCACAGTGTCACCAGGGCTCCTCCTGCTCATTAAGCTACAGCATACAGCTACATACATTGTATTGAGGATACTGAGGTGTGCCAAGCTCAGCACGGAGGAGGGCTTTCAGGTGGGCAGTTCTAATGCACGAGCTCTTCTCAGGTGATTTACAGCCTCTGAAAACCCACTGGCAGGTCAGCTATGAGTGAGGTCCCACTCGATGGCAATACACAACAACACAAGGTGGGTTACATTTATATTCCATTCTCTACACTTGCTGGAGCCAGAGTCTTTTTGAACACAAACTTCTCAGCAGACACCAGCAGATAGGTTTTTTGGTATCTATCAGTGAAACCGGAGGAGATAAGGATTGAACAGGAGGCCCCAGGTGGAAGCTCCAAACGTCTCTAACTCTTTCAGACATTAAATAGACTTTGTTTAACAGATAAACGCTGAAGATTCTCCACCTTTTCCTCTGGCCTTGCTCACTGGCTCTATTCTGCGCACGCAGAGCTGTCAGAAGTCAGGTATACACTCAACGGTACCACTGATAACCTAATGTACTGTCATCAATTCAGAACCAACTCCTAGATGCCCCTCCAGTGGGTGTTCAGAGGCTTTAAACTGCACAGGAGGAGACTGCCTATCTTTCTCACATGGAGAAGCTGGTGGATTTGAACTGCAAGCCTTTGGGTTAGAAGCATAACTCCTTACCCTCTAGGCCACCAGAGCTCCCCAGTAGTAATGGTAACTGAATTATTAGTTATGTTTCTCCCCATGACGGGTTTATATGTCAAAACACATTTGAAGAGTCTTTTCGCCTCCTCCCCTCACCTCTCCCTCTAACCCCTGCAACTCTGTTTGTGTCTCTGCATTTGTTTCCTATGGAAACCTTCAGGTTGTTTAGGTTCCTGGCAACTAGCCCCGAGTTTTGCTGGCTGGCTGTAAATTGTGGATGTGGCAGTGGCATGAGAACTTGCCCAACTTCAGAAGGGCCGAGGGGAAACATGATCAGCCCAAAGGTGATTCTAGTGAAGGGGAGGTCAAGCATGCCACCCACCATCTCCAACTTTATTTTCTCCAATTGTTTGTTTTGTGTTTTTTTTAAATCCACTCTGATACCAGTCATCCCTCCCATGACACCCTCTACCGCTCTGCTGGGCTTAGCAATGTACTGTAAAAACCACACAGAACATACAGACAGGAAAGTGGCTTAGGAAGTAAGCAGCAGGCTGTAACTTGGGATCAAGAAGCACGGAGGCAGTCTAGAAGGCTCCCTGGAAGAGGAGGGGACCTCCCTCCCTCCCTCCTCAGTGCTGGAAAGCTCTCTCAGGAGCGCAGGCAAGTGGGCCCTTCTGGCCCGGCCATGTTGCCCCCTGGAGACAGACTCCTCTCCGCTCAGCTCTCCATCACTTGCCATTCTGCTACTGGGCCCCTAGGTCTGTTATTACCTTCAGTGCCCCAGCTTGTTTGAGGAGTGCCTGGCTTCCTTTCTCTCTACTTTTCCTCTTCCTCCTGCCTTTGTCTCAGTCTATCTGAAAAACCTCTTTGGGAATGAACACACCTGTACACAAATGCTTTGTCAATTTCAAGGTATGACCCTCCCAACAGGGACCCAAAGTGACCAACCCCTCTCAGCAGGAGACAGATACTTCATTTGCAATGGGAGCACCAATCATTGCATTTCCATAGCCTAGACAGAAGGAGAATTGAGTTGTGGTGCTAGAGAATAGTACTGAATATATCATGGACTGCTAGGAGAACAAATAGGTCCATCCTGGAGAGGGTGAAACCAGGCTGCTCCTTGGAGTCAAGGATTTTGAAGCTTTGTCTGACATACTTTGGGCATGTTGCAAGGAGGGACCAGTCCTTGGAGAGGAACAGCACACTTGGGAGGGTGGAGGGACAGAGAAAGAGAGGAAGACCCTCAATGAGATGGATTCAGAGGTAGGCTCAGGATCGAGCAGGGTTCAGAGCTGTTGTACACAGGGTTGCTGAGTCACAAGCGACCTGATAACACACAACAACAACAACAACAACAGCTACTTCATTTACAGATTGTATTGACCAATTCCTGCAAAGTGTGAAACTACTACAGGGTGGCTACAGCCCAGAACCAGGTTTAAAAAAAAACAAACCCAAGCTCAATGGTTTCTAGTTTAGCCAGGAGAGATGACAAGTCCTCTCAGGATTTGTTGGCAAAAGAAGCTCCTCAGAATTTGGTAGGGGGGAAAAATCTCTCTCAAGCCATTTTTCCAAAGAATCAGACCAAAGGCCACACCCAGAAACTCCCTTCACCACCATGCTGTGCTTCCAATTTGGCAATATCTTTTAACAGGTGTTTCCAGTTGGCCATGATGGACACCTCTTGCTTGTTCTGTTTTGTTGTTGTTAGGTGCCTTGGGGTTGGCTCTGAGTCATAGCAACCACAAATAATGGAATGAAATCTGCCTGATCCTACCCCATTCGCACAATCTCGGCTGTGTGGAAATCCAATACTGCAGTCATGTTAAACCATGCCATTAAGGCTCTTTTTCTCCTTTGCTCACTCTCCACTCTTCCAAGTATGATGCCCTTCCCTAGGAACTTAGCCCTTCTTGATGGCATGCCCGAAGTATGTGAGACAAAGTCTCATTAAGGAGCACTCTGGCTGCCCTTATTCCAAGACAGATGGGGTTGTTCTTTTGACAATTCATGGTATATTCAATATTCTTTGTCAATGCCACAATTTAAAGGCATCAATTTTCTTTGGTCTTCCTTATTCATTGTCCAACTTTCACATGCACATAAAGCAATTGAAAACTATGTGGCTCGAATCAGGTGCACCTTAGTCTTTAAATTGACATCTTTGCTCTCATCACTTTAGAGTGACAGCAGATATGCCCAATAAATATGCAGCTTGATTTCTTGATTGTTGCTTCCATGAGTATTGGTTGTGGAGTCAAGTAAAAGGAAATTCTTGACAATCTCAACTTTTTCTCCAGCTATTATGATGCTGCCTATTGGTCCAGTGGTGTTGATTTCAGATTGTTGTTGTTGTTGTTTCTAAAAACAAGAAAACTTTTCCATAATTCACATAACAATACCAGAGCAATTGTATGCTGAGCAAATTATCTGAGATGCTGGATTCTATGAAGAGTGTGGCACCAGGATTGGAAGGAGATTCATCAATAATTTGTATTACACAGATGACACAACCTTGCTTGCTGAAAGTGAGGAGGACTTGATGCACTTGCTGCAAAAGATCAAGGTATGCAGCCTTTGGTATGGACTGCATTTCAATGTCAACAAAACAAAGATTCTTACCATGAGGCTGATAGCAGCATCCTGGCGGGTGGAGAGGATACTGAAACAGTTAAATGTTGCAAACAGAACACAGAAAGAAAGCAGGGACATGGGGAAAATGAATACTGAAAAAGAGGGAAGGCTAAGACAGAGGTCCGCTCACAGCTTAGCACTGTGAAAAGGCCTCTTTCTTAGTCTCCCTATGGTTTTTAGTTTAAGCCAACCATTTTTAAAAAGTTCAATCTCCGGAGACTATATTTTCCTTAAACTTAAGTGTTGCCAACATTACAATGGGTAAGCTTAATCTTTAAACTAAGACCAAGTTAAGACACGGCATCCCCTCGGGTGGGAGGCTGGGCAGAATTCTGTTTGCAGAGGGCATCCAGTATCTTCTCCGGGGGGGCTGGGCAGAATTTTCTGTTTTCAGAGGGTGTTCAGTCCTGTCTGGACTCTGATCTCAGCTGTGACCTAGCTGTCACTATGCCGGGGAATCCACAGTCAAAAGCTTCATCTTGCTTGTATCTACAGTTAATAGCCTTGGTTCCATTAGTCAGGAAATAAGGAGATGTATTGCACTGGAGAAATCTGCAGTTAGGGATCTTTCTACTTATTGAGGAGCAATGATGTCAGTTTCAGGACTAAGGTGCATCTGATTAAGAATATAGTCTTTCCGATTACTTGCATCTAAGAGCTGGACAATAAATAAGGAAT